CTTTTTTTTTTCATGTAACAAAGAGTCCCAAGTAGGAAGTCTAGGGCTCAAGGAAACCAGTTTCCTATTCTCTGCTGGTACTGCCAACTGTAGTGAGTGGCTTTCTTCTCCATGGTCACACAGTGTTTGCCACACCACCAAGAAGCACCCCCACCTTCCAGGCAGGAAGGACAAAGAACAAGAATGCATGTCTGTTGAGTTTGTCACTTCTAATTTTAATCAGGAAAACAGTAACTTTCCTAAAAACCCTTCCCATTAGATTTCTGGCTGTGTCTAATTGACCAGAACTGTGTTAAAACCCCAGCTACCAAGGAGCCGGGAAAGCAGAGTTCTTTAACCGAGCACACTGCTACCCTGAGCAAAATTGGGTCTGGATGCAGGAAGGACAAAGGGGAGAATGCATATTGGACAGGAAACTGGCATTGTCTTCCACTGGATATACTGAGCACGCGACGTTTTTCAAAGTCTTTGTGTCTGGTCCTCTGCCGTTCATTGCATATGCTTTTTACTCAGGTTACTTGGCAATATTTCTGTTAGAGAAGAGAGGAAACCATAAACTCTCTGTGCCCCAAATGGGAAAGGACATGTTGCAATTGGATGTCACCACTTGGACAAAATATTTCAGATAAAAAATAGGGAAGTAGGCTGTCTTATATCCATGGAGCTGGACTGTGGTAAAGTCTCCCTTTGTTTGCGCTGCTTAAAGATGACGGCAGGGTGTCATGGTGTTTTCACTGCTAATATTTGATTTTGTACCGTAAAGCCAGAGGGTTGAGTTCATCACTGGTCTACTGGATTCTCTCTCTCATTAATTTGTGTGCCATGAAAAATTGCCCAGCCGGTGTGGTTCAGTGGATTGAGGGTTGACCCATGCACCAAGAGGTCACCGCCAGTTCAATTCCCAGTCAGGGCACATGCCTGGGTTTCAGGCTTGAACCCCAGTAGGTGGGTGTTGTTGATCGATGTTTCTATCTCTCTCTCTCTTTAAAATCAATAAAAACATTTTTTAAAAAAGAAAAAGAGCCAGCTGGTGTGGCTCAGTGGTTGAGCGTTGACCCATGCACCCAGAGGTCGCCAGTTTGATTCCCAGTCAGGATACATGCCCAGAATGTGGGCTAAATCCCCAGTCGGGGGCATGCAGGAGGCAGCCAATTGGTGTTCTCTCTCATCGATGTTTCTATCTCTCTCTTCTGCTCCCTTCCTCTCGCTCTAAAATCAAAAAAGAAAAAAACATTTTTAAAAAATAAAGAAAAAACCCCGCCCCATTTCCTCCTCTTTTCCTCCTCTTACTGTCGGAAACTATTGTGATGTGTCGATGTGTAGTTTTGTTGTTTTGTAAAAGTTCTTGCATAATGTGCACTGCGGACATATACTTTTAACTTATAGAAATAGTATCGGCTTACGTGCATCATTCCATTGCTTACTTTTCTCATGCAGCACTATGTTCATCCATGTTGCTTCATGTACATCTAACCCAGTGCTTCTGATTGTTACATAATACCTCACAGTGTGCCTCCACCGCATTTGAGCTAAACATTCTGTTATGGGCTGAATTGTGTTCCCCCCAAATTCATAAGTTGAATTTCCAACCCCAGTACCTCAGAATGTAATCATATTGGAGATAAGACATTCAAAGAGGTAATTAAGGTCACATGAGGTCCTATGAGTGGGCTCATATCCATGTATTTGGAGACAGGACCTTCAAAGAGATAATTAAATTCAACTGAGACAACTAGGTGAGTGCCTAATCCAATATGACCGAAGTCCTTAAACAAGAGAGACACCAGGGATGTGCCTGGACAGAAAAAAGGGCGTGTGGAGACACAGAAAGAGGCCATCAAGCAAGTCAAGAAGCAAGGGCTAAGTAGAAACCAAACCTGCCAACACTCTGATCTGGGACTTCCAGCCTCCATAACCAGGAGAAAATAGATTTCTGTTGTTTAAGCCACTCAACCTTGTTACGGCAGCCCTAGCAATCCAATATGCACTCCCAGAGACACCCAGATTTCTTTCAACAACTTTGTTGAAAACTTTTGAAGCCAACAAACCTTTCCTGCTAAACTGACAATACTGTACAGCTAACATTTGATTATAACTTAACCTTATCTTAAGAAACTGAGATGTCTTTATGTTGGAGTTGTGAATCTTTCATTTGGTGCCTTGTTCATTGAAACCCTTGCAAAGAAAAAAAAGGAATCCTATTCCCAATGCCACATGATTTGTCTAGGCAACCAAAACCTAAGCTTTTCAGTCTTTAATTGGCCAGAGATTGGTATAGAAACAGTCCAGTCAATAAGAGGTTGGGGACTTTTGTTGCAATTTGGGGATATGAATATTTTTCTCTCTTTTAGGTTAGTAAAGTGGCTACAGCCATTCTGTCACCATGAGGAAAGCAAGTTTTAGGATTATGCTGATGCCGTTGAGAGCAGTGTATCAGGATAAAGTATGCCAAGTCATGATTCAGCCCAGCCCTGAAGTTCATCCTACTTGTGGACTTTCCAGTCACATGACCCAGTAAATCTGCCTTATTTTTTTTAACCCAGTATGAGTGTTGTGTAATTTGCAAGAAAAAAAAAAAACAAACCTTTATCCTTAATGATACAAGTAGGTGCAAGGTTACAAATGTGAATGTCAGATCTGAGTCCTTGGTCTCAGCAGTGATGGAAGGCATAAGTTCATTTGCACTCATCAGATTGGCAAAGGGTGAATACAATAACAGCCCTGATGTTAGCTTTTGGTAACAGAAACTCTTATACATTGATGGTAGGACTATACATTGCTACAATATTTTTGGAAAGTAATCTGACAATATATTAGGTTTAACCTTAAAAAATTGATATTTCTTTAGGGGAACATGGTTGAATATCAACAGTTTCATATGATTCAACCTAATACATTAAAAACACACATTCTTGGCAACCACTCGATGTGTCTCTCACATCAATGTTTCTCTTTCTCTCTTCCTCCCTTTCTCCCTCCTGTTCTATCTGAAGATAAATAAAAAAAAAAAAAAAAAAAAAAGTCCTCAGGTGAGGATAAAAAAAATAACAAAAATAAGTAAAAGAACACATATTATTTGACCTAACAATCTCACTTTTAAGAATCTATTGTATAGGAATAAAAGCATTAGAAGGTAAAGCTCTTTATACAAGGATACTTATCACAGCTCTGTTGATAATGACAAAGCAAAACAAGATTAGAAATACTAGAAACAACTTCAGCATTGAGGAATAAATTATCGTACACCCAAATTATGGGATATTGCCCATGAACTAAATAAGTAACAAGTTATATTTGTGCCTATATACATGTAGAGATGTCCTTGAGGTTAAATCAGAGTAGCATCTTTATTTTGTTTTTTGTTTTTAGCCTCACCCGAGGACATTTTTCCATTTTTTGTTCAGATAGAGTGGGCGGGAGAGAGAGAGAGAGAGAGAGAGAGAAAGAAACATCGATGTGAAAGGGACACATCGAGTGGTTGCCACTCACACAACCCAGCCAGGCCCGGGGACAAACTGCAACCGAGGTACATACCCTTAGCAGGAACCGAACCCGGGTCTTTCTGGACCGCAGGCCGACGCTCTAACCGTTGAGCCAAACCGACAAAGGCAGAGTACCATCTTTAGAATTATCCCGTTTTTTAAAAAAACAGGGAGAAACAACCCTCTATATGTATATGTCTGAGTGGTATAGAGAAGGGAGTGAAAGGGTACATACTGCCTGGGGAACTTTAATTACCTTACAGAGGGGAATGGAAAGCATTTTATATTTATGGACACATTTTATTCATTTAAAATACATTTAATTTTCACAAAGCTCTATTCTTATCCTCATCTTGCAGATGGGTGAACTTAGGCAGGAAGAGGTTAAGTACCTGGCTCAGCCCTAACCGGTTTGGCTCAGAGGTTAGAGCGTTGGCCTGCGGACCAGAGACCTGGGTTCAGTTTCCCCTAAGGGCATGTACCTTGGTTGCAGTTTGTCCCCAGCCCTGGTTGGGGTCGTTGGCAGCCAGTCGATGTCTCTCTGTCTCCCTGTCTCTCTCTCTCTCTCCCACTTTATCTGAAGATAAATGCAAAAATGTCCAGGAGTGAGGATTAAAAAAAAAGTACCTGGCTCAAAGCTGCACCACTAGGAAGTGGTGGGGGCTGGCTTCAGAGTGGTCAACACAGACAAAAGGGGGGCTTCACTTTGCACACACCCCCTCCCTGAGGACTCCTCAGGGGTCTGGGAGAGTCCTGTCTAAAGCTGGATGTTGCAGGTCTGGGTTGGGGTGGGGCCCTCGGTGACAGGAGTGTGCATGTCTACTTGGAAGAGTCTGTAAAGGATTCACAGAGGAGGTGACCCTTGAATTGACTCATCAAAGGTAGGTCAGTGTTCATCAGGCAAGCTGGGACCTGCGGGCAGGGGACCACTACAAAGGGCACCAGCACCCAGTACAAGGGCACCGGCACCTGGTTGGAGGCCTGGATGCCACACTATCTGCGGGGGTGAGGGGAACCCCGGGAACTAGGCCAGCATTGGTCCAGACCCGGGCTGTAGCTGCTCCATCCCGGTCCCTTGTCTTCGCGCCTCCCTGCTTGAGGCCACCGCTCTTCCCTCTTCGGGTCCCCAGTTAGGACACTGGCAGGGTTCCAGTGGGCGGCTGTTCACACACACACACACCCAGGACACAGCTCCGCCCTGGGGGAAGCCCCACCCTCCCTGGAAGGGTACTTAAATCCCCACCCTGGATGCTGGGTTGAGTAATCTCCTTCTCTAGCTAGTGGAACCTCCGGGCTCGGGTAAGTACAGGGCCCCACCCCAGCCGCACTTTCCCCGCTGAGTTCCGGACCCCCTTTGCGGAGCGTCTGCGTGTTGCTGTCCCCCTCCTTTGGCTGAATACCCTCCGGGCGCATGCGCTCCGGGAAACGAAGCAGATGCTCCGATGCCCCGGGTCCCGGCCAGGTCTCGGGGAGCTCTGAAGCCGGTGCGGGAGGGAGGGCGTGGCCTGGACCGAATGTCGGCGGCACAGGCTGGCTGGCTGCTGCGGGGAACTGGCGGGACCGCGACAAGTGTGGAAGGAGAGGCAAGGCTGCGGTCGGAGTTCCGTTAATTGGCACCGGTATGCGCAGGGCGAAGAGGTGGGAGCCTGGGGCAAGTGTGCCTGGACGGGGTACACACCTGGCCCCCTTCCGCGGGTCGGTGGGATGCTCGCTGAACTGCTCCCCCCTCTGCGGCCCGGCCCTTTCCAAGGGGCTGCTGGGCTGCGGAGAATTCAGAGTTCTCAGCTGCTGCCACTTTGGGAGAAGAAACCAGAGGGAACAGCAGGGCTGCGGTTGGGTCCGCTCCGACCGCTCCACTTGCAATGCGGAAGCGCCCCCTGCCGGCCACAAGTGTCCACGACCAGGGCTGGGGACGCAAATCGCCCGCCAGGCGCCCGCAGCTGCTGCACGGATGGGAAGGCGCGGTTCCCGCGTGATGCAGGGCAGTTCAGAGCAGCGTGAACGGTCTTCTCTCGGTTTTGTGTGGGGTCAAATTTAAATCCAAACAAATCCTTGATTGCTTGTTTGGTGCCAAAGAAAACACCCGTCCGAAAACTAAGGGGAACGGCAGCACCTGTGTTCAAGTGTTCGAGACTGTCACAATGTGTTGTTCTATCTATCCAGACCATTTTCAACGGGTGCCCCACTAGAATTTTTTTAAATTAATTTTTCTTTTGTTACAGATGTTTCTCCTTTTCCCCCACTGATTTCCCCCTCCCCCTCCCTCCCCGCCCTGTCCCCAGCTCTGTTGTCCATGTCCATTGTTCATGCACACATGCATATAAGTTCTGTGGTTTATCTCTCCCCCACAACCCCCTCTTCTGGGGATTGTCAGTCTGTACCCCACTTCCACGTCTCTGGGACTATCCCATTCCTCAGACTGTTATGTTCATTATATTCCACAAATAAGTGAGATCATATGATACTTGTCTTTCTCTGTTTGGCTTAGGATACTACTTTCCAGGTCCCTCCGTGTCATCTCTAAGGATCTTTCTTTCTCACGCCTGCATAGTACTCCATTGTGTATATGTACCACTGCTTTTTTATCCATTCGTCTACTGATGGACACTTGGGCTGTTTCCAGATCTTAGCTATTGTAAATAGTGCTGCTACAAACATGGGGGTACATATATTCTTTCTGATTAGTGTTTCAGGCTTCTTAGGGTATATTCCTAGAAGTGGGATCACTGTGTCAAATGGCAGTTCAATTTTTAATTTTTTGAGGTAACACCATATTGTTTTCCATAGTGGCTGCACCAGTCTGCATTCCCACCAGCAGTGTACTAGAGTCCCCTTTTCTCCACACCCTCGCCAACACTTGTTTGATGATTTGTTGATGGCGGCCATTCTGACAGGTGTGAGGTGATACCTCATTGTTGTTTTAATTTGCATCTCTCCAATGATTAGTGTCGTTGAGCATTTCTTCATATGTCTCTTAGCCATTTGTATGTCCTGTTTGGAGAGGTGTATATTTAGTTCCTCTGCCCATTTTTTAATTGGGTTTTTTTGTCTTCCTTTTGTTGAGTTGCCACTAGAATTTTAAAACATCCAATACCCGACTGTTTAGTTTGGGGCACTGACCTCTTTTCCCTTAGATTGTCAAGTTGAAAAAAGGACAACAGCCAACACAACAATAGCCATCCTGTGTGATAGAATCAAAATTATACCGATTTTTGGGGGTGGGGGGTCAGGTCAGAAAAAAATGTTGTGTACATGTTTGGTGTGCCGCAGAATTTGAGCATTTAGTTTGTGTGTGCCCTGAGATGAAAAAGGTTGAAATTCGCTGCTCTCACCATTTAAAAGATGCGCATAAACTTCTGGTTGGTTCTTTGTGTTTGATGCTATTTCTTAGGATTCGTTTCATGTGCAGCAAGAAACAGAATATTTGCACACCGGGTAGTTGTTCAGTGATGGCTGGGAAGGATTTTTGTGTTGGTTTACATTTTTCCTGGCCTTGAAGATTTCCACAGAATCCTCCATTTTCTCTTCTGTACGCTGTATGCTGGCAATGATAATAGTGCCTATCTTATAGGGGAGTTTTGAGGATAAAATGAGATCATGCATATGAAGTGCTTAGCACAGTAACGAAAACATAGTGAATGCTAAGTAAATGTGATAGATGCTAAATGATAATGATGAGAAATAGATGACGGGTACATTCCGCTGTCTGGCCACAGTGCCATGGCTAGGGAGCCATAAAAATCCAGTTACTTCCTGACATTTGACTACTATGTTCTAGGAGCTTCAGGATGGTTCATGCTAAGAGCTGGACCTTGAAGAAACACTTTGAAGGCAACCCTACAAGTGGTAACTTTGAGTTGAAGACAGTTGAACTCCCACCCTTAAAAAATGGAGGTAAGTCATAATCATATAATTTGAGTTGAAAGAGACTGTGTCAGTCAGCCTTTGCTGCGTAACAGGCTAGCCCCAAAGCTTAGTGACTTCAAACAACTATCATTTATTAGTACACAATTCTATGGCCTCAGTTCTTCTTTGTGTGGCCTTTCTAGCAGGCTAGTTTGAGCTCTTTATTTCCACAGTGGTCTCCCGAATCTAGAGCAGCAAGAATCGGCTAATTCCATGTGCAAGTACTTTTCAAACCTGCACTTGTATCATGTTTGCTAGTAAACTTGTCAAAGGTTGAAATTCGCTGCTCACATAGCCAAGCCCAGATCAAGGATAGAGAAACAGACTTCTTGTTGGGAGGAGTGGCGAAGAGGTTCTCACACAGAGATGGGAGGTTATTTGTGGCCATTTTGCAATCTGCCACAGAGATTCTTTCAAAGTTCTCTGTGTGAAGCCTCGATGTCATGTTGGAGAACCCCTCTTCTATCTTGGTAATTGAAACTCGTGCTTGGGTGCATTATCCTTCAGGACTTTGTCCAGAACACGCGAGGATTTCCTCTCTGGCCTGGTGAACCCAACAATGACTGTGGGGTAGAGATAGTCTGTGTGCAGAGCTCAGACTGTCCCTGTGAGGAGTCAAGGAGGTGAAATCCTCATCCTTCACTGAGGAGCCTCCTGTCCACTTGGGGGAACTGAATGGTCACGTTAAACCCAAAGAAATCTAAGGGAGAGAAATGGCAACACACTTCATAACATGTTTGGAAATTAGCTTTGTAGAGCAGACTCTAAGGAATGTCTGCAAGGGATATTTGGCTTTGTGAAAAAGGAATGCAATCAAGTAGCTTGACAAACTTATCAGTCCCATCTAAATTGGTATAGCTAGGGCTCAGTTTCAAAATTCCAGAGAATGTGTATATAAAGGTCAGGCCAGCAACACGCATATCTTTAATACTACTGACAGCCCTGGCCGGTTTGGCTCAGTGGTTGGAGCGTTGGCCTGCAGACCAGAGAGTCCTGGGTTCAGTTCCTGCTTAGGGGCACGTACCAAAAAAACAAAAATTCTAACTGGCCCTGGTAATGCAGCCCTATGTGAGCACTGCAGCGTAGTGGTTACAAATACGGCCCTAGGCAAGTTACTGATCATGAGCATAAATAAAATGGAAACAGTAATTGTTGAGCATATCATATGAAATCATCCATGAAAAGCATGGAGTGCTGTGTAAATATGATGATGATGATGATGCACAACAACAACTGGCTGGACTGGGCCAAATGTGCGAGTCCTTGTCTCTCCAGGAGAAGGCACAGGTGAGGGCAGCCCCGCAGCACTGAGGTGTGTTGGTTTAGAATGTCAGTGGCCACAGAGGCAGCAGGCCTGGAGTGTCTCATCGCCTATGGAATGCTTTCTTTTGTAGAGGTCCTGCTGGAAGCTTTGTTCCTCACCGTGGACCCATACATGAGGTATTACTTCCCTCCTAAAAATTCTTATATTGTGCCCTGGCCGGTTTGGCTCGGTGGTTAGAGCATCAGCCCGTGAAGCAAAGAGCCTCGGGTTCAATTCCGGTCAAGGGCAGGTACGTGGGTTAGGGTTCGTCCTGGTCGGGTTCGGGGCCTGAGACAACCAGTCGATGTGTCCCTCTCACATCAATGTGTCCTTCTCACGTCGATGTTTCTTTCTCTCTCCCTTTCTTCTTCTCTCTCCCTTCCTCCCACTCTATCTGAAGGTAAATGGAAAAATATCCTCGGGTGAGGATTAAAACATAAAATCAAATAAATAAATAAAATTATCTTACATTATGCGGTAGACCCTATTTTAAAGCAGTTCATCTTTTAAAATATCCAACTGATTCAGTCATTTCCCCCTGATTCTCCCAGTACAGTGTCAGTGATTACATGTCTGGGTGCTCATCTTTTGCAGGCAAAGGTCAGAGAAGCTTGGTGAGGGATTACCCCGGACCCTTTTTTTTATAATCATCTCCTATCTTAATGTCCACAATTTGCCTCTCGTTGCTCGCCAGAATTGCGTCCAGAAAAATGAAAAGAAAAAAGAAACCAATCTTCAATTTTTCCATTTCATTACTGGCAAATAATTCGAGTAGAGAAAGATGCTAAGACTAAGAGTATATTTCCTTGCCTTCTATTTACCTGTGTTCTTTTAATTTCGGTAATCTGCAGCTGACTCAAACTGTGTACTCCATAAATACTCAGGGAGGGGAGAGAATTAAAGCCTTCATACACCACAAACTCCTGAGTCATTTCGTGCCTAAGTAATTAATGTAGTCATGCTTCCTTTACATAATTTTTTTCCTAACTGATTAATAGAGATTGAAAGCTAAGACACCGGTTGAGTGCCTACAATTCAACTCAATTCTGACACTATCTACCTGGAGATAATGTCAGAGCCCACAGATCAAAGGCTCACAGGACTGTCCACCCCCCTTTAGGTGCTAATTGGAACTCCAGGTTGTTACCTGTGCTTCTGGTCAACCAGCTATAGAGCGGAGGTTCTAACAACACCCTCCTTGGATTCAGTGAATTGCCTAGAGCAGGAAACAGTTTACTCACTGAGTCACTGGTTTGTTCTAAGATGACATAACCCAGGGACAGCCAAGTGGAGGAGATGCAGAGGCAGGGTATGGGGAAAGGGCTCCAAGCTTCCACGCCCGGCACCGCCACTCTCCCCACACCTCCACGTGTTCACGGACACAGGCTATCAGAACACTGTCCTTTTGGAGTTTTGTGGAGGCTTCATTACATAGGTATGGTTGATTAAATCATTGGCCTTTGGTGAATGACTCAACCCCCAGCTCCTCTCCCCTTCGTGGAGGTGAAGGGTGCGGGTGGGAATGAAAGTTCTAACTTCAACTCTGATCCTTAGTTGGAGACTTTTTCCCAAAGTCACCTCATTAACATAACAGAAGACACTTTTGATGCTCCCGCCACTTAGGAAATTCTGAGTTTTAGGAGCTCTGTGCCAGAAACAAGGACACAGACCAAATATATGTATTTTTCTTGTACATAATCACAATATCATAGCTAGTGTTTGGGATAACAAGTATCCAGTGGTGCCTGGGTTATGTTTTTAAAGTCATTGGTAGAAACGCACCCACAATTGAGCATCATGGCAAGTTCCTCAGGTTCATTTCGTAGACACGTATTATCAGAATGCTTCTTTGGGGGGTCACGGCGTAGAATTTCTGTAGCAGCTTTCCTCCCACAATGCACCCGGTTGTACTGCCCTCACTTATTGAGTTCCATTTCCGCACACACCCCAGTGGTTTTCCATCTGGCCTGAAACTCAAGACAGTTTTTCCCAGATACTCTTACGTATCAAACATGGATTTTTTTTTTTTTTCCCCAGGTTGGCGGCCAACAAATTGAAGGAGGGTGATATGATGATGGGGGAGCAAGTGGCCAGGTAGTTATTTCTATTTATCCCACTGTTTGGAAAATATGTCTCTACTTTACCTTCTGCTGGGCCCTGTCTCTGTCCATTGCTCTCACAATTTCTTCAGCTTGTATGGTTCACTCATTGTTTGATCTTCAAAGCAACTTGGGAGTTCTACCCTTTTCCTGATTAATGGGAAGGGAGGAAATGCTGTGACATTGTCATCGTTTCAACTTCACTTTGCTATCCTTACTTTTAATTAGTAAAAAAAAAAAAAGTATTTGTCCAGTTCATAATTATTTTGTAAAAAATCAAAATTTGTATCTTAAGAATGAAAGTTTCCCCATCATCTCAACCTTAGAGATAACTGTTTTTAATGTATGAATATTTCAAAATTTTTTCAGTACACTACTGATATTTATCATTTTAAAAAATAAGATTAAATGCCCATCAGCAAATTGCTTTTCTCAAAATGTTATAGATATCCTTTGTTGGTAGTATATAAATATCTTTTAATGGCTGCAAATTATGCCATTGTTATCTGCCATTTAACTAATCCACTACTGATAACTGTTTCCTTTTTTTTTTTTTTTTTTACTACAAATGGTTCTGCAAGGAACTTGTATGCATTTATATGTGTGTATCTGTGTATTCTTTGACCACTTGGAAAAATAATGTTTTACATTAAATGTCCAGAAGTACAAATTCTAGGTCAAAGGAGATGCACATTTTTAATTTGAAGATATGATGATAAGTTGCCCTTCCCAATGATTGTATGAGTATCCACTGCTATCAGGGTCATAGTCACGACCCGTGTGCCCAGACCTGCATGCTCATTGCTTACCATCAGCCTTGGCCATGTGAGATGACTATGTTGATATTTCGTGCCTGGTTTAATTTGCATTTCATTCATTCTTAGTGATGTTGACATTCTTTTTGGAAATTAATGATCAATTTCTTCTGTGATTTACCTTTTTATGTCCTTGTTCTTTTTCCTTTAGGTCTTTTCATCTTTACCCTAGTAGTTCCATTTAGAGAAGTACTGCCTAAGGAAATAACAAATTCTTATTTATAAATATAAATTGAAGTATAATTTACATTAAGAAAAATACTGGAAATAAATTACATGTCTAATAATGGGGAAATAATTAAATTTATTACAGTTTTTGAGGGATTCTTACTAACATGAGAAAAAGTATAAGTTATATAGACTAGTGTAATGTTGAGAGAGAAAAGTTAGGTTACAAAACAAATAAAATTACTTCAGTTATGTAAATACATATACACACATTTAAAAATATATTAAGATTGTCATAAAATACACCAAAATACTACAAGTTATCTTTGTTTCATAGGACTAAAGGTGATATTTTTATTTTAAATGTTTTACATTTTCTTAAATAAATGTATGTTATATAACTTTATGATCTGGGAGGCAATAAAGAATAGTAAGAGTGGGTGACGATGGAAGAAAGGGAATCAGCAAATGAGACTAAAAGGAACAGCTTAGCCCAGCCAGTGTGGCTCAGTGGACTGAGTGTTGTCCCGTCCTGGTCGGGGCACATGCCTGGGTTGCAGGCTTAATCTCCAGTAGGTGGCATGCAGGAGGCAGCTGACTGATGTTTCTCTCTTGCATTGATGTTTCTCTCTCTCTCTCTCTCCCTTCCTCTCTCTAAATAGTCAATAAAAACATTAAAAAAAAAAAAAAGTGGGAGAAGCTTAGAGGAGAAGGTAAAAAGCCTGAAGAAATTCTGGAAACCAATGGGGAAGAGTTTGGGGTGATCCAGTGTGTTGAATACAGTAGAAAGGTAAAATCAGATAATGAATGAAGAGTGTCCACTGGATTTTCTATCAGGGAGTTGTTATGACCTTAGAGGCACAGTATGGGTGCTGCATTGGATTATCAAGTGAATGGGAATTGAAGAGGAGAGGGAGGAGGGAGGGAGGAAATGGGATTGTAAAATGGCAGAGTTGAGCATACTTAAGCACCGAGGGGAAGGGACAACAGAGAGGCAAGTGTTAAAGATTCAGGAGAGAGGAAGGGCTAAGGAATGGAGAGTGGCCCCTGATGAACATCAGCAGCTGGTGTCTAGGGCATCTTGGGACACAGAATGGACACCTCTTGCTTAGAGAGAAGAGAAATGGGTTAGGACAGATGCTGGATCAGTTGAGAGAGTTCCTTTCTGATGGCCCATATTTTTTCTCCAGAAGGAGAGCTCAATGGCTAAGAATTAAGCTGGAGAGATGTGGGTAGGGTATTCATTCATTGGACTATCAACCTCCGTGCTCTTTGTGTGCACCAACCACACAGCATCCCAATCCTCTTCAAAGGCTTTACATGTCCTACTGTGCTTTATCTTTCAGAGTTGTGGAAAGTAAAAACTCAGCCTTTCCAACGGGGACTGTTGTATTGGCTCATTCAGGCTGGACAACACACTCCATTTCTGATGGAAAACAACTAGAGAAGGTGTCTGCAGATTGGCCAGACACATTACCTCTGTCTTTGACGCTGGGAACACTTGGCATGCCAGGGTGAGTTTTGTGGGTATATGTCATTTGTTTGAATGCCTGACACTCTGGATTCCCAAAATGATTTGTCCAGAACTTGGAGATAAGAAGTGACAAGCTCAGCCAGTACGGTTCAGTGGATTGAGCATCGTCCCATGCATCAAGAGGTCACCGGTTCCGTTCTCTGATCAGGGCACAGGCCAGAGTTGCAGGCTCTGTCCTCAGTAGGGGGCATGCAGGAGGCAGCTGATCAGTGTTTCTCTCTCGGTGAGGTTTCTATCTCTCTTTCCCTCTCCCTTCATCTCTCTCTAAAGAAAAAAAAAATCAATAAAAACATTTTTTTTTAATGAAGAGACAAGACATTATCAGAAGCTGATTAGAGAAGATGGTGAGACTGTGAATGGAAGAAGAGTGGGCTAGGCTAGGGTTAGCCTTAAAACTAAAGGAAAGAGGGCAGATCAGGTCAGAGACACTCAGGCACAAAGAGGAAGCGGAGTGAGAAGCAAGGTGGGGCGTGCTCCCTCTCTAGCAGCTGGCTATGGGAACACAAAGGTACTAGCTCCTCCTGCCCTAGGAGGGTCTTAGCTTCATGCATCACCGTCTCTTCCTCCATTTCAGAATTTAAAACTGAAAAGAGAGTTCAACCTACCTTGGTTTTCTGCATCTATATCCTTCCTCACCTTTCCCTATACACTTCTGAGTTTCCTGAGGGGCAAGGAGACCGGGACTTTAAATAACGAAAAAGAATCACAAGTATGGTTGTGCAGTCTCTCAGCTTGGCACAGATTTAAAGTGCTCAGGTGTCTCTTGGCCTCAGGAAGTTCTTCCTATCCCTCAGGAAGACCCCTAGTCACTTTATCCTGTGTCTACTCTCCAGGGCCCGACTGCACTTTGTTTTTTTTCCTCACCCGAGGACATTTTTTCATTTTTTGTACAGACAGAGTGGGAGGGAGAGAGAGGAAGAGAGAGGGAAACATCGATGTGAAAGGGACACATCGAGTGGCTGCCACCCGCACGAACAACCAGGGCCGGGGACAAACTGCAACCGAGGTACGTGCCCTTAGCGGGAACCGAACCCGGGTCTCTCCGGACCGCAGGCGGGCGCTCTAACCGCTGAGCCAAACCGACCAGAGCCCGACTGCACTTTGGACCTCAAGTTTCATTTTATGTCCTGGAGAAGCAAGGGTGACTGAATTCCTTTTGGAGTTCCCAACACTTTTCTAGCCTGGAACTCACTTATTTCTGCTCTTTTACTACGTTATGTAATCTTTTCCTTCCTGCCTACCTCCCTCCCTTCCTCCCTTTTCCCACATGCCCTCCTTTTCTTTTTCATACTTTTTAAAAAATCCTCACCCGAGAATATATTTTTCTATTTATCTTCAGATAGAGTGGGAGAAAGGGGGGAGGGGGAGAGAGAGAGAGAGAAACACTCATGTGAGAGAGACACATTGACTGGTTGCCCCCCGCACGACCCCAACCAGGGCCAGGGATGAACGCAACAGAGGTACATGCCCTTGACCGGAATTGAACCTGTGACTCATTGGTCTGAGGGCCGATGCTTTAACCACTGAGCCAAACCAATCAGGGCATCTTTTTTATACTTTAAAAAAAATATGTTTCTATTGATTTTTTAGTGAGAGAGGGAGGGAGGAGAGAAACACGGATGTGAGCTCGGCCAGTGTGCTCAGTGGCCGTCCACGAGGTGTGGTGGTCTCTGCACTCGCTCCATCATACTGCCTGAGCTGGTCCTTGCAGGCCTAGCTGTTCTTTCCCCACGAGATAACTTCAACATTCCACTTGGGGTGAAATAAGGAAGTTTCAGAAGCTTTCCCATACTGTTCTGGAGCCATGAGAAACTCAAGGTGTTTCTCTCTGACCCCCTCATGCCTAGACACCGCACACCATTGTATCTGCTCTGTGGCTATGGCACAATGATGACATCAGACTTTCCCATGAAGCTCACCGTCTCACCAGGACTTAGATGGGAACGAGGCATAAGCCGTCTATTCTTAGATCTTAAAGGGGGACCTAATTTTTTTTACCCCTCAAGACTTGACCTGGTGATGGACAGGATGCAGCCCCCTTCCAGCCAACTCTCCATTCCCACCCTAGTCCCATGGTCTTTATTTCTGTTTCGGGGAGGGGAGAGGGCGGAAGGAGGAGGACCATCAGTGGCTGGTAATACTCATTTCCTATTGTTTTCTTTTACCCAGACGTATGGCAGTGGGCTGCTGAGAAGGTGTTTGGGGGTGTATTTGAATGAGTTATAGGAAAGCAACAAATCTACCCACATAACCTTAATTTTCTTTCCTCAGCCTAACAGCCTATTTTGGCCTACTCGACATCTGTGGTGCGAAAGGTGGACAAACAGTTTTGGTCAATGCAGCAGCAGGAGCCGTGGGCTCTGTCGTGGGGCAGATAGCTAAGATCAAGGTCAGTGTCTTCCTCCGGGAGCCAGCGTCACTCAGCACCACAGTGTGCCCTGGGATGCGGCCGTGAACACAGCACACCTGCCCTAGTCTCAGAGCTCAGTCCTGTAGATCTTGTTAGAAGGTGGAGCTTGGGAATGATTGAGAAATGGGCGAATGAGGAAAATGGTGTAGCAAAGGTGACCTGATCTGACAACACGGTAGCTACCAAGGTATATCTGGCCTCTGTCTAGAGTAGTGAGTTTATAATAAACAATTACCGCTTTCATAGTTTTTGCTCACATCTGTGTTACAGCCTTACCTCCTCTCTTTATGATTGCCCCAACAATAGAAGGAAGGACTTTCGATCAGTCAACTAAGAGTCTTTACCCACATGGCCCCATGGGTTTGGTTTAAAGGCTACGGCAGGCAGCCCAGAGTGGTGGGGCCATGGCTTGAGAACCCACCACCTCCTGGGAGGTAGTTAGGACATGGAAACATTGGCTCCGATTTGGGCTGGTGTCTGATGTGATGGGCACCAGCAGCAGGCAGCTCAGACACGGTCAGGATATGTCACACAGCAGGAATGTTCCAAGGTGATCTGGCTTAGCTGATCCTTTGCCCAGAGGCTGGGATGCAGAATTCAGGACCTAGTTCCTAGGGAAAGAGGTAGATAGAGTACAGATGAATACAGGGCTACAAGCAATAGCCAAGGTTTCAGGCTGGTCTCTAGTGCTAATGGGAGCTTAGAATATAAATAAAAGATGAGGCTACCATAGAGGTTGCAGGAAGGATTTATTTATAAGTAAATAAATAAATAGGAATAGATGTTAAATTTTATCAAATGTTGTTTCAGCATTTATCAGGTTAATTTTGCAGTTCGTGAATTATATTTGTTTTCCAGTATTGAACCATTCTAGGATTCCTGAAATAAGCTTTATTTACCTATGGTACATTATGGATTTGTACCTTTGAATTTTATTTGATCAAATTTTGAATAGAATCGTTGCATCTATAATTATAGATGGGTTTGAAGTTATTTTGTTCTAAATTTATCAGTGTTTACCTTTGGGTTATGCTAGACTCACAAAATGAATTAGTAATATTTCCAATAATCAAATGTTAAATGTCTTCTTAAAACTATGAGGGATATTTATTTCAAAAGTTTGATAGGACTTACCCTCAAACCTATTATTCTTTTAGAAACCCCACTGGAGACTGCCATACTAAAAATTTGGTGCTTAATCCTTAATCCTTAATGATTAGTTCTGCATTTTAGAGAAGTCACTTTGGCCTCGGTTCATAGTTCCCAGGGACAAAGTACTAGGGAGAAGAAGTCCAATTAGGAGACCCTTACATTAATTCAGACAGAAATTGTCATGCATCGACAGTAGAGATTAGAAGTCAGAGCCAGCTTTTAAGGATGTTTGGTAAAAAACAATTAAACCTGGTAATTGGATATGGGTAGGAAGGGAGAGAAACACATCTTCTATGACCCACTTGTCTCAGGTTTGGATAACTGTGTGATACCATTCACTACAATAGAGAATAGAAAAAGAGCAACAAGTAATAAGCAAGGAAAAAAAAATTCCATTTTGGATACATTGACTCCAGGGTATTCATGTGAAGGTTATTAGAAGTACTGATTTGGAAGTCACTCAGAAGAGAGGCATGGGCTGGAATTAATAGGTGAGGGAATCATCTGTATGAAGGGGGTGTTGAGGTCATATCATCTTGTGAATTTATAAGTCTTGAAGGAAAAAGGACAAGGTTGGAGCTTTTGCAAGAGTTTTTTCTTGAATGATGAAGGAATAGAAAAAGTATATAGCAGTCATTGTCTGTACAGATACATATATGAACCCTACTTCCCCTAATTGAAAGTACACAGTGGCTCATATTCTGGTCTTCATGATCCATTCAGAATATAAGAGAGTTTTCTGAATAGCTACTTTTTATGTGCCAATGTAATCTCTAGTAACATCCTGAAAGTGCTTTTCACAATGTTCTCCAGTTCCTCTACATTTAAGTAGCATCTAGTCTCACGCTTTGAGCCAAATCAAACAGTAAGGTGGGCATTTACCAGGAGGGCCTGTCTATGAAATGAGAGTCCCAGAACTGAGCCAAAATAATAGTCTAAAGGACAAATACACCAAGAGGTAGCATGCAAGTCATTGCAAGGGAAGAGAAGCTCCAGAATAAAGGGACGAGAGGCAAATGAAGGTGTTGTCAAGCCAGCAGGTTGAAATGAACTGCATCAAAATGCAAAAGGTTCAAGACAAAGAGAGAATCTTAAAAGCAGCAAGAGAAAAGCAGTTAGTTACCTACAAGGGAGTTCCCATTAGGCTGTCAGCTGATTTCTCAAAAGAAACTTTGCAGGCCAGAAGGGAGTGGCAAGAAATATTCAGAGTGATGACAAGCAAGAGCCTACAACCAAGATTACTCTATCCTGCAAAGCTGTCATTTAGAATCGATGGCCATATAAAGAGTTTCCCAGACAAGAAAAAGTTAAAGGAGTTCATCAGCACCAAACCATTATTATATGAAATGTTGAAGGGTCTTTTTGAAGAAAAAGATAAAATATATGAACAAACAAAATGGCAATGAATACATATCTATCAACAATGGAATCTACACACAAAAAAACGAACAGGCAAAACAGAAACATTCTCATAGATACAGAGAACATTTAGTTGGTTACCAGATTGGGGGGATGGGGGGAATGGGAGAAAAAGGTGAAGGTTAAGAAGAACAAATTGGTTGCTAGACTGACAAACCTCAAAGAGAAGGGGGATTGGGGGGTGGGAAGAAATAAACCAAAGAATGTATATGCATAACCAATGAACACAGACAACAGTGTGGGAAAAGGCGGGGGTGGGGGAGTGGGGAGGAGGGGGTCAATGGGGGAAAAATGAGGAACATCTGTAATACAGTCAACAATAAAGATTTAAAAAAAAAAAAAGGAATGAACTGCAAACCATGTTAACATAGAAAAGATCTGTCTGGCAGTCAGAGGCAAGCTGAAGTTAATCTTGGGTTGTCGGCTGGTTCAGGGACTATTTTCACTTATGGGGTCTTTTGGCTCATCGTGGTATCCTCATGTGTGCTCAGCACTTCGGAGGGTGTTCTGACTGTGCTAGACTAGAAGGGTGGAGTTGGTGTATGCTTGTGACTTATAAATGGTTTCTATTTATTTCCCCCACTTAGGGCTGCAAAGTTGTTGGAGCAGCAGGGTCTGATGATAAGGTTGCCTACCTTAAAAAGCTTGGATTTGATGTTGCCTTTAACTACAAGACAGTACAGTCTTTGGAAGAAACTTTGAAAAAAGCTTCTCCTGATGGTTATGATTGTTATTTTGATAATGTAAGTACAAATTAGACTTAAAATCTGATTTGCTAACAAAGTAACTATACAAGGAAATATGCTTCTGGAGTTTCCATCTAAAATCTATGAAGAAAGGACATATGGTTTAAAAAAAAAAAATCCCCACAGCCCTGGCCGGTTTGGCTCAGTGGTTGGAGCGCCGGCCTGCGGTACAGAGAGACCCGGGTTCGGTTCCCGCTAAGGGCGTGTACCTCGGTTGCAGTTTGTCCCCGGCCCTGGTTGGTTGTGAGGGTGGCAGCCACTTGATGTGTCCCTTCACATCGATGTTTCTCTCTCTCTCTCTTCCTCTCTCTCCCTCCCGCTCTATCTGAACAAAAAATGGAAAAATGTCCTCGGGTGAGGATAAAAAACAAAACAAAATAACCCACAGCTTTATTGTGATATACTTCACCCATTTAAAGTATACAATTCAATGTTTTTTAGTATATTTACAGAATTGTACAATTGTCACCACAATCATTTTGAGAACATTTTTATCACACATTTGTACTTATTAGCATCCACTACCCACTTTCCCCAAAAGTGGTCTTTTGTGACTGGCTTCTTACACTTAGCATGTTTTCAAGGTTCATTCATGCTGTAGCATGTATCAGTGATTCATTCCTTCTTATGGCCAAATAATACTAGATTGTATAGATAGACCACATTTTACTTATCCATTCATCAGTGGGTGTTCATTTAAGCTATTTACACTTTTTGGCTATTATATACTGCCACTGTGAACATTCACGTGCGTGTTTTGTGTGGACATGTTTTCATTTTTCATGGGCACACCTGTGAATGGGATTGCTGGGTTATATGACAGCTTCACGTGTGCACTTGTGGTGCTGCCAGACTATTTTGCAGGATGGCTGCACTAATTTGACATTCTCATTTGTGAGGGTTCCAGTATCCCCACATCCTCACCAACACTTATGATTTGTCGTTTTGATTATGGCTATCCTGGTAGTTTTGAAATGCTAATTTCATTGTGGTTTTGATTTGCATTTCTTTAATGACTAATATTGAGCATCTTTTCATGTGCTTATTGGCCATTTGTATATCTTCTTTGGAGGAGTGTCTGTTCAAATCCTTTGCCCATTTTTCAACTGAGTTATTCGTTGAGTTGTAAGGCTTTTTTATACATTCTGGATACAAGTTCCTTATCAGATCTAGGCAGTTCTTAAGTCACTACAAACACTGAACCATTCATTGCTCCTAGGAAAAGTATGTACCTATATGCACATATCTCCCATAGATTACAACCTTAAAGCCTAAAAACAATTCTTCCTATAACTTCCATTTTATTTCACAAAAGAGAATATGAGGTTCAGAGTAAGGTTAAGTAACTTGCCTGAGGCTGCCCCACTAACTAATCCTCCCAGAGTTGGGGTTCATACGCCATCCAAATGGCCCCAGAGCCGGGCGTCTTGAACTAACTTACGCTGCCTCCTGCTGTCTTACCGTCCGGCCCTCTCGAGAGCTGAGAAAGGAAGGCAGAGCCCTGGCCTTGCTTGACCTTAGCTGGGAACTTTGCATCTCGTTCCCTGCTCTGCACCTGTCTGCAGATGACCAGGCAACGCCCTGTGACTATTGATTTGGGGATTATAAATACATTTTAGCAAGTAGTCCAATTCCCAAATATGGAATCCAGTAATAATGAGGATTCACTCTATGTGGTTTGCAAATGTTTTCTCCTATTCTGCTTGTAATTTGTCTCTCACTTTCTTCATAGTGTCCTTTAAAGCACAAAAGGAAATTTTTTTTTTGCCCTGGCCAATGTAGCTCAGTGGTTAGAGCATTGTCCCCTGCAGGGTCATGGGTCTGATTTCCAGTCAGGGCACATGCCCAGATTGTGCGTTTGATCCCCAGTTAGGCGTGTGTGGGAGGCAGCCAACTGATGTCTCTCTCTCCCTCTCCCTCCCCCTCTCTCTAGAATCAGTGAAAAGCATATCCTCTGGAGAGGATTTGTAAAAAATTTAAAGCACAGAAGTTTTTAATTTTGGTGGTCCAATTTATTTTTTCTCTTGTCCCTGGGGCTTTTGGTGTCATGTAGATTTACCTCTTTGTTTTCTTTTAAGAGATTTATAGTGATAGCTCTTACATTTAGGTCTGTGGTGCATTTTAAGTTCATTTTGGTGGTGATGGGAGGGAGGAGTCCACTTTCATTCTCTCCTATGTGGATATCCAGTTGTTCTACACCATCTGTTGAAAAGACTATTTCGTCCCTAGTGACTTTTGTATTCTTCTCAAAATCAATTGACCATAAATGTAAGGGTTTATTTTTCAACGCTCAGTTTAGTTCTATTGATCTATATTTCTCTTCTCACACCTGTCTTGATTAATATACCTCTGTAGTGAGTCCTCCAACTTTGTTCTTTATGTCAGTTGAGTATTTTTCCAAATTTTTAGGTAGGGCTATGAGATTATTGAACTGACCAGAGACCCTCATGATGTAATAAAGTAAAATTTATGTTATATAAGGTATGGTCCTTTTGTAAAATGGAAATGCCCAGTTTCTAATATCTTTTTTTAAATGTAATTTTCTGCACTATTGTGCTAATTCAATCAGTTTTGTTGCTGCTGAAACAAGTAATGTGAAATGAGAGTAAATGAATGATTTTCCTGAATCTTCTAGTGTTTAAATTGAGGTATGTATTTTTTGTTTATTTTTTGTCCTATTTAGGTGGGTGGAGAATTTTCAAACGTTGTTATCCCCCAGATGAAGAAATTTGGAAGAATCGCTATATGTGGGGCCATCTCTACCTACAACAGAACTCGCCCACTTCCCCCAGGTAATGAGCTCATGTGGGTGGTCACAGGTATAAGAAGAGTAGACAAGGGGAAGATTCACAGATATGGCATCAGAATATGTAAAATATTTTAGTGACTATCAAAATATTTAAAAGACTTTCTGATATTCTTCATGAAATAGTATTTATCAGCATATATATATGTGTGTGTGTGTGTGTGTGTGTGTGTGTGTGTGTGTGAGAGAGAGAGAGAGAGAGAGAGAGGAAGGGAGAGAAATAGAAAGATCGATGTGAGAGAGAAACTTTGATCGGCTGCCTCCTGCACACCCCCTTCTGGGGATCAAGCCCCAAACCCAGGCACATGCCTGAACCAGGAATCAATCTGGGACCTCTTAGTCCGTGGGACAACGCTCAGTCCGCTGAGCCACACCGGCTGGGCTATCAGCTTATATTTTTATAGAGAGAAATAACAGGATCTGAAAATATGGAACAAACACTTATTATTAAATATTATCAAATATTTACCTATTTCCTGAAAAACTGTAAAAAGACAGCCATGATTTAGAAACAGAACACCTTGGTCTGGCTGGTAGAATGGCAGGGTTTTTAAGGATATCCAGGATATTGCTGGAGGTGTGGGCACGGTAGGTGGTGACTTGAGGTGGGTGAAGGGGAAGACAGGCTGCCGTTTCCTGCAGACACTCGTGGGCAGTGCTTCCTAGCGCAACAGGACACCCTGGCCTCACCTGACTGACCGTTTCCACTAAAAGGGAAAGGAGCCTGCATTTCTCCCCCCATGCCTCGATTGTCCTTGTTTTGTTTCTCCTGTGCCCTGCCATGCCCCCCATTCCCCGCTTCTTCACTCTCTTATGCTGAGACCACCCCCTCCCACCTCCATCTCTACAAGGGTCTAAAGGCAGTGTCAGTATGTGTTAGATCCCCATCTCTGAGAGATGTTGTACAGGACTGCTATTTTACAGATGGGGAAATGAATGGCTGAGTGGTCCAGGGACTCTTTAAATCCTGTTAGCATCAGACTCCAGACAAAGCGGTCCTTTGAACAACTCAGAGTCCTTTTCTGCTGCTACAATTCTGTGCTGTTGGCGAGATTACAGATTTACTGTGGTCCAAAAAAAAAAGAGAGAGAGAGAAAGAAAGGAATCTTCCAGATTGTTATCAGGGTCTACGAAACCACAAATAAACTGGTTATTCATTCTACAATGGGCTTGACTCATGGGATGGAAACCTTATAGCCCCACTCGTTAGCAACACACAACGTGCACCGAGACAGGGGGGCCAGCGTGAAAGGAGCCGAGGAAGGACAACCTGTAGATTCCTTCCCGAGCCGTGAAAAATCAAAGCCACTACCTTCTCCGAGAAGGAAACTCCAGGTTTTTGACAATCTTATTATTAGGTACCCCCCCACACATCTATATTTTTTTATTTGATGCTAAGCTACCATCATGAGAAATTTTCTGCCTGCCAATCGAACAAAGCTCCAGGAAGCATTTTCTTGACCACAGTCCAATTAGGTGCTGCCAAATATTTTGGCTGCAGTAACTTGATCTAGTTTTTCTTAAGCGATTAGTTGGAAGTTCAGCTGCTCAGATAGGTCTTTGAGGTGTCAGCTGACCTTTCCATTCCATTTCAATCAACTATGATTTGGCCCTGCTTGTGATCTCCAGAAAATCTAACATATTTCACTGCCAGGATAACTCGGAGGCAAGTAATTATTTTCCCCAACTTTAATGCCACATTTGTTCTTTTGTTCTCAATAAAGAAATCCACATTCCCATCAGGGGACAAGCCCAGAAATAGTATTTCCTCCTCTCTCAAGATGAGGGAATAAGGGTTCCAGCCCATAACCCAAAGAACTGTGGTCGGTGCGGGACTTCTGAAGAAGCCCCCTTTCTGCAGGACCAATCCAGAATTTGCGAGTCACTCTCTCTTTTTTAAAATTTTTTTCTTTATTGATTTTAGAGAGAGAGGAAGGGAGAGGGAGAGAGAGATAGAAACCTCAATGAGAGAGAACATCGATTGGCTGCCTCCCGCATGCCCCCCATTGGGGATTTGGCCCACAACCTGGGCATGTGCCCTGACTGGGAATCGAACCGGCGACCTCTTGGTGCATGGGTCCAAGCTCAACCACTGAGCCACACCAGCTGGGCAAGTCACGCTCTTCTGTCACCCTTGTGTCTCAACTCGTTTTGCATCAGTTTTTTTTTTAAGTTTTTTAAATTGATTTTTAGAGAGAAAAAGGAAGAGGGAGAGAAAAACATCGATGTGAAAGCAAAAGATCCATCTGCTGCCTCCGGCACGCCCCCTACTCAGCATGGAGCCTGCAGCCCAGGCACGCGCCCTGACTGGGAATCAAACTGGCAACGTTTCGGTGCACGAGATGACACCCAGCCAGCTGCGCCACACCGGCCAGGGCAGCATCGGTTTTTTTTAGGTCAGGATGTAGCCCTATTTTTCTGACTACTAGTGTTACTTTCTTTAAAGCAGTGAGTGGGAACTTGAGGCTTAAGTGATGTAGTTATCAAAGATGCTGAAAATAGATTCTGCCACTCTTGTCGCTTCTGGTCCTGACTGCACCTGACTTCCTGGATTGGTAAGACTGTGCTCAGGTGTCATTCCCTCCATCTCCGGTCACTTGGGACAAGAGACCAGGCAACCGCACAGCTTTTCTCTCTCACACAGAACAGTACTACCCAACAGGCTGCAGGGTAGGTAGCCTTGTGCTTTTTCTAGGCTGGGGGTTCTCAAGTGTGAACCCAGGACCAGCGGTATCACCATCTCCTGGGAACTTGTGAGAGAGACAGATTCTTGGGGCCTACTCCATAGACACAATTGGAAACTGGGGAGGGGCCCAGCAATTTCTTTCGACAAGCCCTGCACACGATTCTGATACACACCAAAGCGTGAGGCCCACTGTTCAGGCTCACTCTTGGTTTCCTGAACTGGCGAGGACGGGCGCAGGCGTGGGAGTTGCTGAGTCCCCCGATCTCCTCTCTCTTGTCGGCTTAGTCCAGGGGTGGACACTAGTGGTTTTGCCTCTCCTCTGAGTACAGAACAGAAGGGCATGGCTTTACACCATAAAATGATGGCATTAAGCCATCAAGAAGAACCTGCTAAGCACTGGGAATGTGAGGGTTCTGGAGTGGTGCAGAACGTGTCATCTTCAGGACCTCTGTCTGTCCCATGGAACCATCTGGGAAGTCTTTGGCGGGCCTCGCTCCTGGCATGTCAAGGACTCCGAGTATGTCTCCTATTCCTAACAAATGACCACAAACTCAGTGGCTTAAAAACAGCAGAAATCGGCTGCTCTCTCCTCTGAGTAGGATGGGACAGTCGCCGCGCGGCTAATAAAGCTCTCTTAATTTGACCCCCCCCGTCCCCTCCCCCCAAAAAAACCAGCAGAAAGTTCTTGTCTTTCAGTTCTGGAGGTCAGAAGTCTAAAATGAGTCGGCAGGGCCGTGTTCCCTCCGAAGGCTCCTGGAGAGTCTGTTCCCTCGCCTTTTCTGCTGCCTGCATTTCTCGGCTGCTGGCCCCTTCCTCCGCCTTCAAAACGAGCAGCATGAAACTATCAAATCTTCCTCTCCATCTGATCTCTGCTTCCATCATCACATATTTCTTTTCCCGTCTCTGACTTTTCTCTACCCCCTCGTTCCCTTACAAGGACCCTTGTGATTATATTGGGCCCACCTATCCAATACACAATAATCTCTCCATCTCAAGTTCTTAATCATATCTGCAAAGTCCCTGTTGCCCTGTAAGGTGACGTCACAGGCTCTGGGAGTTATGATGTGGACGTGTTTGAGGGCCAGCATTCTGCCCACCGCGCTGTTGATTTGTGGGCAGCCTGGTAGATCAGCAAAGAATGGAGGAAACGAAGGGGAAGAAGTCAGGGAACAGTCAGTGGCCTGACTTTTCACCATGGCCGCCTCCCTGGATCCTGTCACTCAAATGTGCCCTCCTCTTCACAGGCCCGCCCCCAGAGATTATCATTTATCAGCAACTCCGCATGGAAGGGTTCATTGTCAGCCGCTGGCAAGGAGATGCCCGCCACAAGGCTCTGAAGGAACTGCAGAAGTGGGTCTCGGAGGTAAGAGGTGCAGAGCCGCCCCCTCCAACTGTGCACTGGATCCCGGTCCCTTTGGAAACTGTAGACTTCGAATCTCCACTGCAAATACATCTCACTGCTGCCTATTTTACTGCCGAGTCCCTGGAAGGGGTGTCCACACTCACTGTCTGCAGTTCCTCTCTTTCCATTCTTTCTTAAAGCCACACATCAGGCTTTGCACTGGTCACTGGGCCTCTTCTCTGCCATCCCTTCGCTGGCTCGTCCAGGCTCACGGCTTTACATTTTGGCAGGTCGACAGCTCCCGAATGTCTGCCTCCTGCCCGCGCTCCCCGAGCTCCGGACCGCTCGACAGCTGCACTTGGGTGTGGGATACACATTTCTGACTTAACACGTCGAAAATGAAATGTGTTTTGATCTTTCCTGCCAAACCTGCTCCATAGATAGACCTCGCCATCTCAGTTATGACAGTTCTACCCTTCTCGTTGCTCAATCCCCAAACCCTGAAATCGTCTTTGATTCCTTCCTTTCTCTCTTTCATACCCATGTGTAACTTGCGAAATTCTGGTGGCTCAGGCTTCATAATACATCCAGAACCCGCCCACTCCTCCTACCTCCACTGCTACCGCCTGGGTCCAGGCCACTTGTCTAGGATGTTGTGTTAGCCCCCATCTAGTCCCACCTTGGTGCCCTTGCAGACAATTCCCAACACGGCAGCCACAGTGGTCTTTTAAAGCATAAATCAAACCATGTCATTCTTATGCTCAAGACCCTGCAAAATTCCCTATTTCACTGAGACTAAAACTTACAAGGCTATTTGCGATCCTCCATTACCTCTTTGATTTCATTTCTTTTTTATTTATTTTTTTATCCTCACCTGAGGACATTTTTTCATTTTTTGTTCAGATAGAGTGGGAGGGAGAGAGAGAGAGAAACATCGACGTGAAAGGGACACATCAAGTGGCTGCCACCCGCACGACCCAACCAGGGCTGGGGACAAATTGCAACCGAGGTACATGCCCTTAGCGGGAACCGAACCCGGGTCTCTCAGGACTGCAGGCCAACGCTCTAACCGCTGAGCCAAACCAGCCAGGGCTGATTTCATTTCTTAGTGTTTACTCCCTTCGCTCTGCCCAATCTTTCCCCTCACCTCTCCCTTTCTGTGACTGCTTATTCTCTCACCTGCTTCACGTCTGCTTACAACTGCCTTGTGAATGAAGCAACTTGGACGGTGACCCTGTTTTAATTCTGATTCCCCTTCATCCTTGAGTCTCCTTATCGTTGACCCATAGCAATTACCAGCGTTTAATATAACATATACTACAATTCACTTCTTTATTAATGTATTGCCCATCTCCCGCCCATGAGGATGTAACCCCCAGGCGGGCAGCAGTGTTCATGCGTGTTGTTTGCTCCCAGGGTAGCGTCTGAATCCATCCACATCAGGTGAAAGTGTCGAAGAGATGAGGGGCATATATTTGTGCCATGGCTCCTCCAGGCCCTACAGTAGCCATGCCGTGAGATGCAGAGGAAGAAGCCAATCCCTTTGTCCTGTGCTGGGATCATTTTCCCACCAAGACCATGTAGCCTTCTAGCCGATAGAAATCTGAATAACCAAGATGTGTTATTTTAATTTGTAGAGGGGAAAGTGCTATCACACTTTCTAGTTCCTGGCTTTATGATCATTTCCCGACTCAAAGAAATTGATTGATCCTCTGGCAACCACTGGTGGTTGGCGTTTCTCCCAGGCTAATACTTGGAGTGCGGGGCTGGGCCCCTTCCAGGAAGCTGGGAAGAGCTGATGTTTTTGTTTTGTTTTGTTTAAGTTCCCGATGTGTAGCTTCTTTGTCCCATTGGTGAAACCGAACCTAGAGCTTCCATGGTCACAGCTGCCAACAAGGAACCACCAGGCTGGTGCCCATAATGTGCCCCTCTGACCAAGTGAACCTAATAATAGTTTTAAGTAACTAGGGAATTGGCCTAGTTTCCCATCTACTTATTTTTTTTTTTTCTCTTCTCTCGCCTTTTAAAAATACACTTTTTATTTTAGAATAGTTTTAGGTTTACAGAAAAATTACAAAGATAGTGCAGAGAGTTCCCATACCCTATATTTTATACCCTAAATTCCCATATTATTACATTTAATATTAGTATTCATCCTCTACTTTTTACCTTTAAACTGCATTGTAGCTTTAAACCCTTTCCAGGTTCTTTGCCTTTTTAAGAGCAAGAATGAGCTTGGACTTTCTAGTCAAGGGTTCAAATCCCAGCTTCACTGCTTACTAGTTGAGTGACCGCAAGCAAATGGACCCTCCATAAGTCCGTAAAGGGTGCTAACCCATCACGGGAATACATTAGGGGGAAAATGATATCAGTAACTCAGGTCTCCACATAAGACCCCCTAAAAAAAACTTTAAAATGTACATTATGGAGGGAGGTGGAGGAGGGTGTCAATGGGGGAAAAAGGAGAAACATCTGTAACAAAAGAAAAAGAAAAAAAAAAAGTACATTAGTCCCACTTAGTAGACTGCCTTGTAGTAGCAAGAGAATGAAAAACCTTCCTTGCTAAATGAGCTCTTCCCTCCCAAACTCCTAAGTGAATGTTAAACACACATGCAAAGAATCTTGGCTTGAAGGGAAGACAAATGATTAAGGTGCCGTGGTACTTATGTTTGCTGAACAGGCTCTGCCCCCTCAAGGGTTAAACACAGGCAAAGAAGCTACATCCTGGGCAGGATGAGCGCAGGTAACACCCTAAAGGGTGCTCCTTTCTCCACCTATTTTCACCTCTTCTGAGGTCATTACATCATTAGACTTTTCAGTTAGAAATTACTTAATCACTTCCTTGACATTTCTCTTGTTACGCTATGATCGGATGCCTATTATTAAATTCCTGTGTGTACTCTGTAATCTGTTCCCTACACTGTGTATGTGGATCAGGCCCCCCAAGTGACTCCACCTTCACGGAGCACAGGACCTCCAGTTATAGTTCCAAGTTTCCCATGATGTACCTGATAAATTTGTTGCTACGATGAGAAGTGTGTATCATTTAGAATATGATATTAATTTATTATATTTGTTGTTGTTTTGATGCAGGGGAAAATTCAGTACCAGGAATTCGTCACTGAAGGATTTGAGAACATGCCAGCTGCATTTATGGGAATGCTGAAAGGAGATAATTTGGGGAAAACAATAGTGAAAGTATGAAAAGGAAACGACACATAGATTCTAGGAATCTTTGGATGATTACTTAATTTTGTTTCACCATTTAGTAAAAATGTATACTGCCTTCATTATCTAAAAAATAGTGGTTGTAATGAGTTTGAGCTACCTAATAAAGTATATTTAAACAGTATGTAATTAGCAATAGAGAATGAAAATCTCGCCCTGGCCGGTTATGCTCAGTGGTTAGAGTGTCAGCCCGCAGACCAAAGAGACCCGGGTTCGGTTCCTGCTAAGGGCATGTACCTTGGTTGCAGTTTGTCCCCGGCCCTGGTTGGGGTCGTGTGATTGGCAACCAGTCGATGTGTCTCTCTCACATCGATGTTTCTCTCTCTCTCTTCCTCCCTCTCTGTCTGAAGATAAATGCAAAAAAACAGTGTCCTTGGGTGAGGATAATTAAAAAAGAAAATCTCATAGTGAACAACAGCCTGTCACCTACATCTCCTTCTGGGTTATGGTAGAAAATAGTGGCTTTGGAGTCCAAAAGTTTACTGCTTCTGTGACCTTGAACTTCTGATTTTTTTCATCTGTCAAGTAAGAATAGTACCACCTGCTTCATATACATATTATAAGTTTGTTTAAAACACCCACATAATACCTAGTATGTATTAGATGCCCAATGAGTGTTAGCTACCTCCCTGCAGAAGTTGGTGACTTTAAAGTCATAAGATTACTACCCCTATTGCTTATGATTACACAAGAAATAATCAGCCCTGGCTGGTTTGGCTCAACAGTTAGAGCATTGGCCTGTTAGGGTCTTGGATTCGAGTTCTGGTCAAGGGCATGTACCTGGGTTGCAGGTTCAATTCCAGCCCTGGTCAGGGTCATGTGGGAGGCAGCCAATCGATGTCTCTCATTCCCATTGACATCTCTCTTTCTCTCCCTTCCTCCCTTCCACTCTATCTGAGGATTAATGGAGAAATAATCAAGCCCTGTTTGGGTAGCTTAGTTGATTAGAGCATCGTCCCAATATACCAAGGTCGTTTGATCCCTTGCCAGGGCACATACAAAAACAAACCAATAAATGCATAAACATGTGTACCAACTAATTAATATTTTTCTCAAGTTAATAAAAATAAATACATCAAAGAAATAATCTTTGCTAATGTACAGGGCTCCAGGGAAGCCTATTCTGTTCCTCTGCGGTGACTAAGGAAGGAAATCTATCATTCACAACAGCTACAAAACAAGATAACACATGGGAATGTATATGAAGGCTACAAAAATGTGTGAGATTTATATGAAGAAAGTTTGAAAACATTATTGAGGGCCTGGCCAGTGTAGTTCAGTGGATTGAGCATCGTCCCAAAAACTGAGAGGTCCCGGTTCGATTCCCAGTCAGGGTACATGCCCAGTTGTAGGCTCAATTCCCAGGAGGCAACCAATCCATGTTTCTCTCTCATCAATGTTTCTATCTTTCTATCCCTTCCTCTCTCTCTAAATAAATTAAAAACATTTTTTTTTAAGTGCAGAACTCACATACAGTATGTTGTTTAAAAAAATTATTAGGGTAGAGACTGACAAACCTCAAAAGGGGGAGGGAAGAGTTAAACCACAAAACTTATATGCATGTATGCGTGACCAGTGGACATAGACAACTATGCTGGTGGGGGGATTGGGAGGAGGGTGTCAATGGGAGAAAAAGGAGAACCATCTGTAATAAAAATTAATTAATCAGTAAAAAAAAAGCACTGAGGAATACAAAAGATTTTAACATATGGAAGTATCATGCTCTTGGACAGGAAGATTCAGGATCATAAAGATGTCCACTCTGTTGATCAATCATGCCACCAAGGAGAGGAGGGATTAAATTATAGTATAGTGAGCCCGGCAGGTGTGGCTTAGTGGTTGAGCATCGACCCATGCACCAAGAGGTCGCCAGTTCGATTCCCGGTCAGGGCACATGCCCAGGTTGTGGGCCCAATCTCCAGTGGGGGGCATGCAGGAGGCGGCCAATCGAAGTGCTCTCTCATCGATGTTTCTCTCTCTCTTTCCCTTTCCCTTCCTCTCTCACTAAAACCAGTAAAGAAAAAAAAAATTATAGTGCAGTAAAAAAATGGGAGAAAAGTGTGTGTGTAAAACCTCTGCAAAGATATAATAAACTGATGAAATGGTTTTCCCCATGGAAACTAAAGCGTGCCTGCAGGACAGGACTGAGAAAGACTTCACACTGTGTAGTGTGGGGTGGGGGTTACACAAGGTAGACATCTGCAAAATGCCTACTTTTGGAGTTCTGAGTCTTATGAACAAATTATCCACTATTACAATACAATTAAAAAGTAAAAGTCCCTGCCCTTTTGTGTCCTCTCCTTACATGTAAAACAGGAAAGTGTGGGCACACCCAAGACAGAACACCCCTGGTGTTTTTAACTCTCGAACTGGTGCACACTGAGCCCCCAGCACCTTGTTAACGGCTCTGGTCCACGTGGAGATTTCTGCTCTAGGCATCTCCTCCGGTCACCAGTGATTTTCTGCGTCCGCCTGTCTGACTCACCAATTTCCAAGGCAGCATTTCGCCCCATGACTTTAGTTCTTTGCTAGATCTAGAGTTGTTGGGCCCTGGCCAGTTTGGCTCAGCGGTTAGAGCATCGGCCCGTGGACCAGAGAGTCCCGGGTTCAGTTCCCGCTAAGGGCACGTACCTCGCTTGCGGTTTGTCCCAAGCCCCGGTTGGAATCGTGTGGATGGCAACTACTTGATGTGTCCCTTTCACATCGATGTTTCTCTCTCTCTCTTCCTCTCTCCTTCCCGCTCTATATGGAGATAAATGCAAAAGTGTCCTCAGGTGAAGATTTTTTAAAAGTTGATTTTTTTTAGTTTGTTCAAATTTTTCTTGTTAGGATGGAGTGATGACTGCCAAGTATAACATATGTCAGACCAGAAACCAGAAGTCAGGAGTGTGTATTTTAAATCTTGATCATATTTACCCTTTTTTTCTCTAATGGTTAATGTTTTCAGTTTTTCACTGAAGAAATCATTGCCTAGCGCAAGGTCATAAAATTTTTCTCCCGTTTTATTCTGTAAATTTTAATCAGTTTAAATGTTGTGTTAGTTCTGTGGTAAAGGAGGAATAGGGATTGGGATTGACTGTAAAGGGAGAAAGAGAATTTTGGGGGGTTGATTTTAGTTTTGGGGGTGGGGATTACATAAGGTAGACATCTGCAAAACTCGTAAAATGGTACACTTAAATGTGTGCATCTTACTGTATGTAAATTATACCTCAATGAAGTTAATTTTTAAAAAGGAAACTATGTCCAGTACGAAATGTTGGCCACAGGCAAGAGCTTGGTTACCACCAAAGTGCTACAGACTCCTGGCTACTTGGAAGGAGAAAGAAGTACAATAAACAGACCACGTAAGGCCAAAGTCTGTAAGATCCTCAAGCACAAGGTACGTACTTTGTGGGAAAGCCTCCCACGTGGGCATGAATGTATTTTTTCAACTTAGAACACAGGTCTTGATGTTTCCTCCACTCTCACCTACATCTCTTTCTGGACTTTACTTTGCTCCCAATGGTAAGGTAGGTATCCTTTTTCCAAGTCACAAGCCAGTTTTTCCAACACAATGTATGAAATAATCCATGTTTCCCTCACTGATTTGAAATACTTCTTTAATATGTGTTCTGTTCCTAGATATTTGGTTCCATACCTAAGACTCACGTGTTCAACTAATCTTTGTCTTATTATTTTGCCACTAACGAAAATAGGATATTTTTTCCTATTACATTTTTGATTGGTTATTGCTGGAATTTTGGAAAGGTTTTAAGTACTCTTGACAATCTATGCACAATTTTTTGAATCAAGTATTAAAGAAGATAGTGTTATTAAAAAAATTGTTTTTTCTTTATTTATTTTTAGAGAGAAAGGAAGAGGTAGAGAGAGATAGAAACATTGATGAGAGAGAATATCGACTGGCCGCCTCCTGCATGCCCCCCACTGGGGATTTGGCCCCAAACCTGGGCATGTGCCCTGACTGGGAATTGAACCGGTGACTCTTGGTGCATGGGTTGACACTCAACCACTGGGCCAAACCAGCCAGGTAACAGTGCTATTTTTGATACAGTATTTCAGATGAACACATTTAAAGTTCTTGCCACAATGTTTCAGACTGATGCTTACAGGTAGGTCAGAATTGCTGCCAAGTAGATCACTGGACTTGACATGACACAATGCCATTAGGCCCAAAGAAATACCTGACAGTTCCATTGCTAAATAAGTATAAACAACATAACAGTAGCAGTTGGTGACGTGTCCAATTGTTTAGATGTGTGTCCCTAAAATTTTAAATATCTGCTGTGAGTTCGCTACAGTGCCCTGGAACGCCATGGTGCCCAGCAGGGGCCCATGGTCCTAAGCTATTTCGACCAAGGCTTTAAAACATTATATAATGCTCCAGTTCTTGCTTTCTCTGGGATCTTGGAGGTGGTATGTTCCAGATGGCCTAGCTACAAATGTTGAAAGGTTGCATGGGAAATAAACTACTGAATTAAGCCACTTTGATTTTGGGGGTCCTCTGTGGTTAGCTAACTCTGTACTGTCCAGTATGGTAGCCATTTAATGCTACTGAGAACTGGAAATATGGATAGTGCCACGTTTCATGATAAAAAACAAAAAACAAAGCACAGTAAATATTTTTCCATTAAACACAACTTTATTGTTTCAGTAGAACTACAATTCACTTGAACTGTTGTATCGCATAGGACATTGCTGCTGTAACACTTGTACAGGAACGTGCATTATTTCTAGCATCACAGATAAATCACCAATCTAGTCAGTATCAACAGACTGATTCAGTTTAGATGACTGTTTTCTATGCACTGAAGTAACATTACAATGTGCTCACTTGGATATTTTACGTACACAGCACAAGCTGAAGTACACCTATGCAGAGAGCGCACATTCTGGCAATACTGATGTAAATCGGAATCATAAACTGAGATTCTTAGTACTTTAATTATACTTAAACTGCTTTCTAGGTTCAAAAATACAGAAAAATATTTAGATTTTAAATGAAGGCATATTACTGTGGCAGAAATCAGTGCAATACAGAAGCTAGTACCATGACCAGCACGGCAGAGAAAAAGCGTGGAGGAGGGCAGGGTACACATTCAATGACGAAGGGCAAGTGCAACTTAC